GGAAGGAGGAACCCCCCTCTGATCTGCACAGCCTGTATTTACCCAATGCCTTTACCAACTGTCACCTACTTTCAACACATTACATTATCACTTAGGTGGTGAGAAAAATACGAGCTACAACGAGGAGTAGGAAAAACCAATGTTTGATTATCCTTATACAGCTGTGTGGAGGAACAGAAGTATGGGTAATTCAGAGATCATTTCATTATTGTTCATGTACACACACACCTAAACCCGTGCTTCATTCACAGACTTTGAGTCACAGACCAAAACTGGTGACAGTCAGACCCAGGCTGGGGGCAGGTGGAAACCACATCAGTCAAAAGCCATTTTCATGGGGGGAGGGGGAGCGGGTGAGAAGAAAAGAAATGCCTGACCAGGTAGGTCATCCAATGTGGCAGTTGGAAAGAAACCTACGTTTTAGCCCTGTGGTGGCTTTCTGCGGAGCAATATGCTGCACAACCTTGGTGCCCCCAAAGATAACATGGAGGCGTGAATCAGCTTGCATGTCCAGCACATGGTCTGGGTCCAGGTCCTCAATTGGTTCCTGCAATGACATCACCAGTGACTTTCAGGACTTGGCTCCCAGATCCCCACATCCCACCTGGACTTCCATTTCTCTTGCCTCACCTTCATCTGGGGTACTGACTCCCCAGTGAGCATGGCCTCGTCCACAATGCAACGGCCCCGCAGCAGCAGCACATCACAGGGGACCAGGTTCTCATGGGGGGAGCGACCTATGGGAGGAGAGGAGGGATGCTATCACTAGGAGGCAAAGCCCATCTGATTCATGGCCCTCTAGCACCACACACATGAAAGAAGCCTGAAGAAGACAGGCTGAGGGTCATATATCTCAGGATGACCAAAGGCAGTCAGAACATCTGGGTTCTACTTCTGAGTCTACCACCAAATCAATGCACCACCATCTAAAAGTCTCTTCCTCCCTCTAAGTCTTAATTCCCACCCCCACTTCCCTTCCACACACACCCCCCGCCCTGGTCTAGAAAAGGAGATGATTGGTCTAGATCATCTCTCAGGTCCCCTTCATTTCTAAATAGCCACAATTGTCAGGAGTAGGGAGGGGAGGGGGAAGAGGCTCTATTTGGGAACTCGGATCCCTTTGCACCCAGAACGTTACCAATGGAGACGACGTCTCCAGGTATGATCTCATCACTGGAAACTGGTCTCCACTTTCGGTTCCGATAAACCTGCCAGGATGAGGTAGGGTGCTGGTGAATAAGCAGCAACTAACAGTGCCGATCTTGGCCCAAGTCTAGTCCTACCCCACAACAGATTGCCAACCCCCCCCCCATGACCTCTGCTGTCCTTAAAGCTAAGCCAAGTCCAGCCCAGCCTACACCATACCTGGATCATGTACGGCTTATTGCCCATCTTTCGAATCTCTGACATGTTCCTCATCTGCTGCTGTACCAGCGATGCCTCAAAGGCAACCAACATGGACAGGGTGAAGACACTGTAGTACCAGTACTCATCTAGGCACCATAGCCCCACACAAAACACCTGGGGAGGACCAGGAGACACAGGATGAAATCAGGCCTAGACCTGATGCTGTCCTATTTGCAAAAATTACAGCAGGAGGAGGGACCTTGATCCCTGGGAGGGTAGGGCAAGGGTTTCAGGAGGTGGGGAAGATGGGGAGAATAGTTGGCCTACTTATTCCTCAAGCTGAGGTGCCCATCATTAAATATTCCGGGAGACAACTAACAAAGTTTCACTTTTTCCCCCAAGTGAAACAACAGAGAAAATATAAGCTTCGGTAGAATATAAGCTCCTTGAGGGCAGAAACTGTTTTTCATTTTGTCTTTAGATCCCCAGTGCTTACCACGGTGCCCTGTACATAGTAGGTGCTTAATAAATGCTTGTTGGATTGGACTGGAGAGGAGAGGGCATGCACAGCAGCCCTAGCACCAGGGGCTGAACCTCAGAGACAACAGAGGTACCTTTACCTGAAACACAAAGAAGGGGGCTGTGGCTCTCTCTTTAAACAGCTCCGAGAACTCAGGCACCACCATCTCCGCCCTGAAAAGGAAACCAGCCCCCCCAACCCCACCAGGAGATATGAGGTTTCTGAAGGGTGACAGGGCAGCCCCCCAAAATCAGATGAAAATCCCCACTTCAACAACAACTGCCCCACTTGCAGACAATCTTCTGGGATATGTCTCTCCAGCTTCTAGCTCAGACCGAGGGTTAGGAAAGGCAAGTAGCAATCTGCCCCTAGAATCACTAAGGCAGAACAGACATGGCAACACTGCTGTCTCTCCCTGTGCTGACCCTGCTGTTCATTTTATTATTATCCCCAACACACACTTATTGAAGCCTGTCTTTTGCAGAGCACCACGCTGGGCACTGGGGATAGCAGTGGAAGACAGGGGCCCTGCCCTCAAGGAGCTCAGTTAGATTGCTGAGATGAGTTTCAAGGGTGAAGAGAAACAATGCACAATGTGCCAAGAGTACAGAATGTTGAGGATTTCAGAGGAGAAAGGGATCAAGGAATGACAGAGTGGTCAGAAAATCTCCATAAACAAGGTGGTTTTTGAGCTGGGTCCTAAAGGAGGAAAAGATTTAGAGAAACACTGAGGAAATAAAACATTCCAATCATGGTGGATAGTTATAAGCAAAGGCAGGAAAGATGAGCAATGCTCATGGTAGTTGGGGTTAGATGGAGAGAGACTACGGAGATCAGTTCCACTAAAGATGAAGGTTTGTATAGGGGAGCAGCAGTTGGCAAAGGTCAGATTGTAGGAGCTTCATACACAAGGCCAAAGAGTTCAGATATTTCACAGGCTATGGAGGGCCATCAAAAGTTTCTGAGCAGGAGGATGGTACTGTAGCATATAAGAAACCTAGAGGCTACATATGACAAATGGCAAGACTTCAAACATGTCACCCTAACTTTCTGTGCTTTGGAAAGATTAGTCTGACATTAGTGCACTGGATGAACTGGAAAGGGAACCATCAGGAATAAGGGAGACCTGCCAATAATCAATCTGGAGCAGTTGAAGGCAGAGACTTGATGGACTCCTAAAAAGAAGAATATTAACCCAATTCAAGGGCAGAGATTAGCTTGGTACCAACGAATTCTAGGGGCTAACTCACAGTATGTAGGAAAGGTATGAAGTCCCTGACAGGAAAGATGACTTTTCCAAGGTAAGCAGACAACTCACTTGTTGGTACCATATCTCTTTTCAGCTGCTCGGATTTCTGCATCTTCCTGAAAGCCCCGGGCATTCTGGTAGCAGGAAAAGGGGCTTCCCACAGGAAATGCCACCGGAAGGAACTTCTTTTTCTCCCCTCTGTCATAGGAGTATTTGATCTTCTGAAATTCAAAGGACAGCACCTCCTGCCCGCCTTCTCCCTGGAGGAATAGGCCTGGGTTACTCTGTGTGTGTGGTGGAGGGGAACCTGGAGGCTAAACAGATGCTGCCAGGCAAACAGGATATGGCTCCAGAAACCCTACTGAGTCTATGATGCTTACCTCATCCCGATGCAAGGCTACAAGCTCAGCGGATCCATTGTTGGGAGTTGGGACCACCTTCACCAGGGTTGCTTTGCTGGGATCATATTCCTGTAAGTTAAAGTTGAGTCCTATCTTGTCAAATGCCAGATAAACAAATATACCAATTTAAAACCAAATGAAAAAGATGGAAGACCTGTCCTAGCTTTTTAGCTCTAGCCCTCCCCCACATTCTTGTGCCATAGTCCCAGGCAACTCTAGGACTGAAAGATCTTGTCTCTTGTTCCTTCTGGCAGCAACCCTTCTCCCCTACCTTGTTTCTCAGCTCTAGGGCTTCCCCCTTTAGGGGACACACTCCCTTGGTCTGAAAACAAGGAGTATAAAATGCCTTAAGACTGGTTTCTGAGTGAGCACTTGCTCTTTTCATCCTAATGCCTTAAGGAGTAGAGATAAAAGTCTCCCCAGAGGCCAGAGAGTATTCATGACTAAAGCCACATACGCCTGCCCCAAGACACCTGAGACATCCAAGAGGCAGAACAGGTGTGTGGATGCCAAGAGTAAAGTTACTGGAGACCAGCTGCGAACACACACGTGCACAGTGCCTTGTCTCACAACAGATTTGCCACCGGACGAAGACTAATTAAACTAGATTAGAAGTGGCAGCACTGCCAGAGCCCTGGCCCTGGGCCAGCAAGGTCTCCCTCACTCAGCTCCCCCCATGCCACAACCCTGGCCACACATCTGAAATGCAAGAGGTCTCTCCTGCCCCCAGGACAAGGAAAGTCAGAAGAAGGTGACAGGCCTCGCTGAGATCACTAAGACGCCCAGCCAGGTGGGCCCGGGAATGCGGGCTCAAGAAGGCTACACACAACACGTGGAGGCTCGAGGGAGACCAGGACTGCCGGGGTGAGCAGAGTTACAGCAGCAAGGCAGGCAGAGCGGGCGGGGAAGGACAAGGCCCAGGGGAAGGCGGGGAAAGACGTGGCCTTGGGGGAGGCGCTTGGCCTTCCCACCCCGCTCCTTTCTCGCCAAAGTCCACCCTACTCTGCTCTGCCCCCTCCCCCCGCACGGACGCGCGCGCACTTACCGGAGCACAAGTGAGCGCGCAGTGCGCGTGCACGGACCAGTGGCCGGAGAGGACGGTGAGCGCGTGCAAGAGCCCGATGGCTGCCAGGGTGAGCAGAGCCGCCTCCGGGACTTCTGTCCAGCCGCCCGTCCAGCCCCAGCAGCCGGCGGCCGCGGCACCCAGCCAGGCCGGGTAGAGGAGCCCCACGAAGGGCAGCACCGTGAGGTGGCGCAGGCGGGCCAGGCGTCGGTACGGCCACACTGCGGCCACCAGCTCGTCCCCGCCCGCCACCAGTGCAGGCCCTGCGGGCAGCAGGAGTGGCCGCGCAGCCGGCGGCCCCCGAGACGGGCCGCTACAGCCATCCGAGCCCGCCGCCGCCGCCGCCGCCGCCATCTTCCTCGGCTCGGCCCTCGCTTCCGGGGACAGGAGCCGGCTCACTTCCGGTATCCCCCTTCCGCTACTCCCGCACGCCGCCATAACCGACTGTGACCGGAAGGGGAGGAACCCAGGGCCTTCCCAGGCATCCCCAGCACCTGCCGCGGTAACGACATGTGAGTAGCGGGGACCCCTTCCGGCCGGCCGAGCCCGGGAACTCGCCGGGGCCCTCCCTTCCCTCCTCTCCTCTCCCTTGCTTACGGAGACCAGGGGAGCGATAGATGCGCTCGCGCTATCTGGGCCTCCTGGAACTACCCTGGGCCTTACCTTCGTCGTCACCCCCCAAGGCCCCGCCTATCCTTCCCCAGGCCCCGCCCTCTGGGCGGCACCGCCTCTGTGGGCGGAGCCGTCTCCACTTCCTTCACTTCTCTTCTGCAGGCAGGCGGCCCTGGAAGTGACAGCGCGCTACTGCAGCCGGGAGCTGGAGCAGTATGGCCAGTGCGTGGCTGCCAAGCCGCAGTCGTGGCAGCGGGACTGCTACCACCTCAAGATGAGCATCGCCCAGTGCACTTCCTCCCAGTGAGTCTGATCGGGGCAGACGGGAGGGAAGCAGAGCTGTGGCTGCCCAGAGGAAGGGGCCAGGGCTGTGGTTCTTGACTCCTAGTCTTCTCTCCCCCTCCCCCGCCCTCTATCCAGCCCTATCATTCGTCAGATCCGTCAGGACTGTGCCGAACCTTTTGAAGCCTTTGAGCTGTGTCTCCGACAGAATGAAGCTGCCGTGGGCAATTGCTCCGAGCATGTGCGGCAATTCCTGCAGTGTGCGGAACGGGTGCAGCCGCCGGCAGAGGTGGGCAGCGGGAACTCCGGGAGGGACGGGTCTTCGGTCCGACCGAGCCTTGAGATATGTCTTGGGACGGAAGGACAGATAAGTGACCAGCGTCCTTTTCCTCCACAGCCAAACCGTCTCCAGGCGCAGTGAGCATTTATTTTTCTTGGGCCATGGAAACATTGAGCATATGTGAACATGGGATTTTCTCTGGAGAGCCGTTGGACAGAGCTTAGTCACTGATGGCTGACCCGAAGGTGCTGAGCTGATACCCCACCAACCAAATAAAGACACATTTGTACAGAGCCCTAGGTTCAAAAGCTTCTCTACCTTGGCCTGAGGGTAGTGAACTTCTCTGCTCTAGGGTAAAGGCGTGAGAAAGGACAAACAGGTCTTGTTTTTTAATTTATGAATTGTTTTCTTTGGAAAAGTCTGAATGGAAAGATTCCTCAACATGAAGAGAGTTACTGGACCTGGCCTGGAACAACCTGGGCCAGAGGGCACTCCGATCAAGAGCATAAGAGTGTCAGGGTCACTTCTGATTCGCTACCTCATGTTCCTAATGTTGGAAACTGAGCTGGATTGGGATATCTTTATGCCCTTCCTTTCCTGTTCCCTCCCCCTCAGAGTTTATAGTAGGGTGAGGTAAAATGGGGAGAGTGGAGCAAAGTTCAGAGGTAGAACAGAACAACACAGAAATTGGATTTGGAGTTAAGAGCAATGGTGTTTATTCCCTGCTCTGCTACTTACTACTGTATCAGGGACAAAGTGAGAATTTCTAAAAATTCGGTAATTACATTTCATGCTTCAGAATTCAGTATGAGATTTGGAGTACTATCTTATTGGGGATCAGTATCTAAATTAAAATACATGCTAGGGTAGGGAAAGAGAAAGAAGACATACACGTAGATCTGGAAGAAAACTCAAAGGCCAGTTAGTCCAACTCATTTATAGACTGAAGCTAGGGGAGATTAATCAATTTCACAGAATTTGAGTTGGATCTTTGCTGCTGTATGGTCTACTAACCCATATTCTAAAGAATCAGCACTTTCTCATACCCAGCAAGTGTTCAAACTGCTACTGCTTGAAGATCTACATGGAGAAACCCACCTTCTCTCCGAGCAGGCCATTTTACTTTTCAATACCTCTATTTGTTTGGCCAAAGGTCACACAAATAATGTTAAGTGGCAGAGCACAAATTTGCATGTGAATTCAGTGTTTGAGAATTTCAGTCTTCATTTCATCACACCAAACCACAATCAAAGCCACTCTTTTAGTTCCCCCAGACTCTCCTATCACTTCAACACATAGCTTTATTCCCTCCACTCTGCCACAGGACCTGTCTTTTGCCCCACTTTCCCTTTCCTGCCTAAATCTAACATTTTTCCTACTTCAGAAAGTTCTCCTAAGCTAAATTCATCCCATTCTGCTTAATGTCATTTGTCCCTTTTCCCTGCCTATGAACAGTTGCCCTTATTTCCCTGTCTTAAGGCTCACTCATAAGAGAGTACTGAGGTGAGTCATTGTCATTTCTATAGGTGAAGAGTGACAAGTTACATGGAGACTGGTACTAGAATTGTCCTAAAATTTCAACATTTTTATTCACAATCTGAACAAAGGTATATACAAAGAAATTTCCTAGTAGGCATAATGGCACTTGGATCATCTTCTCACTGAGGATCTCAAGGAATTGGCTCTTTGGAGATGCTGCTGGTTTTGGATGGTTTTCCTTAAGACAACAAACCTGTAGGGTCACTGAAAGGAGTCAGAGGCAGCATGATATAGAAGAGAAATAGGCTAGGACAGAAGAGACCTGACCTCTAGCCCCAACTCTTATATTAACTTGCTGTGTAATCTTGGACAAATCAGTTAAATTCTCTGAGAAATGATTCTAGGGTCCCTTCCGGCTGTAATAGTATAATAGGGATTTTTGTGACTGTTTTAATCCAAGTTAATTACATTGCTACCCCCACCTCCAGCTTGTTGATGTCAGAATATTGGTTTTGAAGGTCTTAAGACAGACAAATGTGGTCTTAGCAAAGAGATAAGGGCAGACTTCCCCTCTAAAATGCTCCCTTCCCCACAATTTGGCCATAGTATGTGAGGAAGGCCACTAGAGTCTTGCAATAGTGTGACCTTGGGCAAACCCTGTTTTGCCTTTTGGATCCAGTTTCCTGCTCTCTGAAACAGACCAAATTTAGAGGATTTTTTTTTTTAAGATTAACTTAAAACAGTAAAGCTTTGGGGTTAGAGCAGAGAAAACCAAATAGTCATATCAACTATAACAATCTCCCCCCTCAATCTGTCCACACTTTTTTAGGGGGGAGGGGGAAATGATTCTATAAGATTCCTGAATGTCTGGGCTCCCAATAATTCCTGTCTTCAAAGCAAAACAGACTTTAGTGTTTTAAGTCCATGATTGCCACTCAAACCTTACAACTTCTCACCTACCATCCTTTACTAAATGTAAAAGTAGTCTCATAAGTTATGCTTCCCAAACCTGTGTAAGGAAGAACCTAACCAATGAGCTACCCTAGGTCCCTACCCAAACTTAGAATATCACTCCAGAACAGCATACTGCTCAAATTCCTATTTCTCCCAATCTTGTTTCCTACTTGTCTTTCAGCTAGACATAAACATGCAAAGGGGTGTAGACATCTGATTTTCAGCTCATTATTGCTTCTCTCTGATAACATCCATTGTCATCTACCAGTGGCTCCATCACCTTCAGGCTCTTGGCGAGGGAGGGGTCTCCCCAAGGAGGAATAAGTTACTCCATCTTTATTTATCTGCTGCCAGGTGCTCTGACCTCCATCCTTTGAGGGCATTCTTCAGCCTGGACTGAGGAATTCCCTATACAGCCACATTAGACTTTTCTGACACCCTTTTACTCTGCAGATCAATGTGATTAAATCACTGGAAATGGGTTTTATAATCTCCTGGCCTTCCCTATCCTCCCCCTTCTCCATAAGTCCATAAGCCTAGGAAGTCAGTTTGCTGACTGACTGAATACTTCATCTACTTAAAGTTAAGGTAATTTCAGGTTCTCTTCTGGTTCTGATGACAATGACTTAGTTTAGTTATATGTGCATTGTTGTATTTTTATACAGGGTGTAAGCTCTTTTAAGAGCAGGGTCTCACTTTTGGCTGTGAATCAGTCCATCATTTTTTTTATCCCTAGTGCTGGCACATAGTAGACGTTTAATAAATGACTGTTGGTGGACAGATTGATGAACTCTTTCAGAGATTCTGGCCTAACCCAAGTGGCTCAGGAAAAATTCTCTCTGGCCCCAAATCAACAGGTCCCCAAAACAAAGCCCAGGATACCGAGATACCAAACAAACAAAAACCTAATTGGTGAATAATGCGGGAATTGGAGGCATGAGACATTTTTGTATGAAGAACTGGGCCGAAGATCCAGTGTTTTTTGAAGGAATGATTGTGTTCAAAAGCCTTTGTTACAGTATCACTGCTAAACACTGGGAATATGAAAACAGTCTGCCCCAGTCTGCAAGAAGCTGACATTCTAATGCAGAAGGCACAGCAGGGATGATTTTATGGTTTCGGAAAGGAAACACATTGGGTAGGTATACTTACAGCTGCAAGGCTACAGGTGAGCCTAGCAGAAGATGGCCACGTGAGGGTGTATGGGTATGTGTATACACCTATCAAAACAGCAGGCCCCAGGGCAGACATTTCAGAAAGGGTGAAAGTTTCTAGGGCATTGTTTTCCAATTCAGGTGGCTAGGAAATAGGAAGTGAAGTGGAGTATAGCTGGGGCATCTCCCCTCCCCCAGGTCCTAAGAAAAGGAGGATGAGAAAGAAAAGTACTAGTACCTTCTAGCCAGGTTTGTAGCTGGGCTGCTTTGCTGAAAGCCCATCCCAGAAGTGAGAATAGGATGGCCAAGAAGGACAAAAGCAGCAGCCAACCCCAGCCAGGAAGCCAGAGAAGATCCTAATCATCAGCTCCACTATTGCATCCTCATTCCACCCTTAGCTGAGAATCTTGAGTGCCATTATAAAAAATTCAGAGAGGTTGAAATGTTCCAAACCTGCTCTATCAAACTCATTCTTGGGCAACCTTTGACCATAAATGCCCAAGGAATGAGGGTGCTTCCCTGGGAGAAAGGGTGACAATGGAAGTAGAGAAGAGAGCGCAAAGATAGGAGGGAAATACCGAGAAGCCTCCCAAGCCTCAGCCCTTTCTGAACCCCATAGTATTTGACGATCCTGGAACTCAAGAGTTCTGTTTAAGAATATGGGATTCAGAGCTAGAAGAGATTTAAGTGATTTTCAAAGCCAACCTCGTTGGCTTGCACAGTAAGAAACTTTGGTACAGAGAGGGGAAAACAGCTTGCCCAAAGTCACATAGCAGTAGAAAGCCCTAACTCCACTACCGCAGGCATTTGAGTGGACCCTGAGTTCTTCTGGTCTGAAGGTGTGAGGGGCTGTCAGCTTAGGCCTCTCAGTCCCCAGCCTTCCAAGGGGAGCCCCCCAACAGTGATCATACAGTGGGCCAGTCCTTTCCTAAGAAGAGCCTCATCTGCTGACCCCAGTCCCATGCCCTGAAGGCTGAGGACTCTGAGGTTAGGCAACAAGAGGCAGAAAGAGAGGATATGCTTGGCTGAAAGCTTATCAGGGGTAGGGGGTGGTCCCAGGAGGCCCAGGGTCTCTAGGGCCTGCATCCCCACCAAGCTGGCCAGCCCCCTGGCTGTGAGCCCAGCCACAGTCACCCTGAGCTCCCGAAGTCTGGGCAGGAAGCGTCCTATGGCCTGCAGGGCCCCATCAGCAGGCACGGAGCATCCACACAGCTCGAGGCGCCGGAGGTGACCGAGCCCAGGCAGGGCGTCTCGAAGCCCCTGCTGGGTCACCCTGTAGGTGACCCTCAGCACCAGGGAGCACAGAGCCCCTTGCCGAGACAGGGCCCGTAGCTGCGAATCTGAGAAGGCCGGGATCCGGTCCAGCACCAGGTGCTCGAGGTGGGTCAGACTTGAGGGGCCATTCCCCGGCGGAAACCAGGCCTGGGGAAGCTCACACGACTGCAGTTCCAGGCACCGAAGCGAACGTGGCAGGCAGGAGAAGGGGATTTTGCGGAGGTCCTCTTCCAGGAGGCTGAGGCAGGCCACGTTCGGGCAGCGCTTCCCCAGCTCCTGCAGCAGGGCCGGGGACAGCAGCGGGGCCCGGGGCACGGACAGCAGGCGGCCTCGCACCTTGAGCGTCCTCAGCCCCGAGCCCAAGTACTGCCGCAGCAGCTGCCACAGCACCTTGGGCCCGACCTGTGGGCGGAAGGCGGGGAATGGCCGAGCCCTTTCCCAGGGAGACCCAAAACAAGCGCCCCGGTCCCCGCCAGCCCGGGGTGGATCGACCCCAAACACCAGGTCTCGGTCTTACCCTGTAAGGACTCAGATCCAAGCGTTTCCAGAGAGCCTTGTCCAGCATCAGCCTCCGCCAGCGCTTACACACCCTGGGGAGGAGGGTGGGCCGGGGCAGTTAAAGCCAGCCCCTTCCGGACCCCCGTCCCAGCCCCCGGCCCGTACACTGGACCCGCTGCCCAGCCCCGCCCCGGAGGCCTCAAGAGAGAGGAGAGGAGGCATCACTGGGCGTCGGGGCCTTGCAGAGCCACACCTGGAGCTCCGGAGCCGGTCCCGGAGAGGCACGAAGGACAGAATCTCCACAAGTAGCCAGTCCGGCAACTCCAAAGCCGTCGCCATCGCAACCAGGGTCGAGCTTCCGCTTCCGCTTTCCGGTGGCCGTAAAGTGCGGGCGGCGCTGTCGTGCGAAGTGAGGCAGGGGCTGTGTCTGAAGGCGAAGGGGTGAGAATCTGCGGCTGGGGCCGGGACTAAGGGCCCGGGCGGGGAAGCTGGGGGGTGTTCAAAGTCACAGCTAAGGGCAAGGGCCGAGCGGGGAGGCCGAGGGATACCGAGTCACAGCCAGGGCCACGGGCCGACCAGCGAGGTCAGGGGTGTCCGGGGTGAACGCCTGGGACAGGGGCTGGGCGAGGTTACCAGAGTGTTTAGGGCCAGGGACCGACGGTGTCCGGGGTCACAAGCAGGAGCAAGAACAGGGGTGAGAGCCGGCGAAGAGGCTGGGTGGGCTGGAAGAAAGACCCGAGCCCAGACTTTTCAGATCCTTTGTGGTCCCCAGAACCATGATCGAGGTTGTGTGTAACGACCGGCTGGGCAAGAAGGTCCGTGTGAAGTGCAAGTATCCTGTTGGTGGGAAGGCGGAGAGGTCCGGTGGGGGTGAGGGCAAGGGTTAGGGAGCGGGTGAGGGGAGTTAGGGGAGCGGGGTGGGGGGGGCAGTTGGCGTCCCCTGGTCTGCCCTCTCTTGCTTTTCCCTTAACGTATGCCCAGCACGGATGACACGATAGGAGATCTGAAGAAACTGATTGCGGCTCAGACAGGCACCCGTTGGAACAAGATTGTTCTGAAGAAATGGTGAGTGCGGCCAGGGCTGACTCAGATGTAAGGTGGGGAGGCTGATGTCAGACAGGGTCTGGGGTGAGTAGACCTGTATTCTGTACCCAGACATAAGGCCCTTTCTTTTTGAAAAGGAAGGAGGTGTGATGGCCCTGGCATTGCTTACTATCCTTTTCCCATTGCAGGTACACAATCTTCAAGGACCACGTTTCCCTGGGTGATTGTATCCTTTATGTGATATCTCTTAAGAGACTGTGGGGCCTGGAGGTTGCCCGGGAACATTCTTTCTCTTTGCTCCCCGTCTCCCATCCTGGTCTATCAGCTGAGGACCAGAAAGGACTTAACTCCTGGGGAGTAAATATCACAGCTGCTGGTATATGCCTAGACTTGAGAGGGGGGGAAGAGGGAGTGGGGAAAAGGGAAGGATTTGAGGAGTTTAAGGGTGCAACTCTTCAGATTCCATGACTCCTACTGTCAGATGAGATCCATGATGGAATGAACCTGGAGCTTTATTATCAGTAGGGGCAGCGGGCCTGCCAATTCAGCAACCCACTCCCTATTTTTAAAGTCTCACTAATAAAAATAATTTAAATGCTACTGTTGCTTCTGTGTGTGTTATTTTTTGGTGTGCTCTGAATATTATAAAAATATTATAAAAAGACTGGATGTGAGACACTTGTTAGAAACCAAGTTTTAATGAGGGACACCTGGTCAGCCAACAGACAAAAAGGAATTGCATAGTTGATTTACACTGCCCTTAAAGGATGGGGGTGGGGTTGGGGAGAGGAGATGTTTTTTACTAAGCAATGCAGCAAAACTAGAAAGAGCAGCTTGTTCTTCTAAGATGTTATTGGCTGCAATAGTTCAGGTAAGCACATCCCTATTGATCCACACTTCTTTAAAACATAGAAAAGCAGGGACAAAGTTAATGAAAGGGAGCTAGAGTGCCTGCTACATAGAGTGGGAGAGGAACATCTTTAGTACTAGAGGTCCTGCACTGACCTTTCAGGAGCAGGAAACATCAAGGCTAAAACAAAAGATAAAAAAAATTGCTGTGATGAACTGGATAGAGCACCCGCCCTGAAGTCAGGAGGACCTGAGTTCAAATCCAATCTCAGACACATAACACTCACTAGCTGTGTGACTCTGGCTTAACTGCCTCACTAAAAAAAAAATAAAAATAAATTGCCCCCCACCAACAAAAACAAAGAAAAATCCAATAGGGTCCTGACATCCCTCACCTCTGGTCTTGAAGCTACTTAAGGCTAGATAGAGAAGGTATGGGGGTTAGCAGAAAGGAATCTGTGTCTGCCCTTGACTTCCAACCCAAGACAGTTCTCTTTTGGAAGGATGATGTGAATCCCTGAGTCTGTAAAGACTAGGCCTCTCCTTTCATCTGTCAGAGTAAAGAATGCCCAAATAGGTCAAAATGGCTTCTGTACCTGACCTGGTAGATTACGAAGTGTGGAGGACCTGGGAGATCATACATACAATGTCTAGGAGAGAAGTCCTGAGACAGTGAACAGTGTAAGAAAAAAAAATAGTACAGAATGAGGGAAGACTGAACCCTTACTGAAGCCCTGACATTTTAGGCAGTGGGGTGATGGGTGGGGTGTTTGTTATATCACTAATATAGGCAACAATGAGCATTTATTAAATACTTGCTAAGTGCTGGGGATGCAAAGGCAAAAAAAAAAGTCCCGCCTGGAAAGATTTTGCTTGCTTTTTAATGAGACAGATAAAATGTAAATAAGTAGTAGCTACACACAAGATAGGTAGGTAGAAAGCACTCTGAGAGGTAAAGGCATTAGCAGCTGAAGGGACCAAGAAAGGCCTTCTGGGGTAAGTAGAATTTGAACGTGTGCCTTATACATTCCAGGCCTTGGAAGCTACTTGTACAAAGGGAAAGGGGATGGGCTGTGGTGTTGGAGTAACTACAAGTCTGCCAGTGTTACAAGAATGTAAGTAGAGGGACAGCTAGGTGTTGCAGTGGATAGCGCACCGGCCCTGAAGTCAGGAGGACCCAAGTTCAAATCCGGCCTCAGACCAAACACTTTACACTAGCTGTGTGACCCTTAAAAAATGTGACCATTTAACCCCAATTGCCTAAAAATGAAAAAAAAAAAAGAATGTAAGTAGAGAGCAGATGAGAAGACTGGGAAAGGAGGAAGGTGCCCAACACTGGAGTTTATAATTATCCCTGCCAGTAATAGGGAGCCACTGGATTTCGATAAGTAGGGCCATAAGGTGGTCAAATCCATACTTTAGAAAAATCACATTGGCAACTTGAATGGACTGGAGTGAGGAGAGATTTGAGGGGAGACCAGTTAATAGGCTACTAAAAAGGTCCAGGTGAGAAGTCATCAGGACTTCTGTCCATACCTGGACTACAGTAGCAGTTGTGTGAGTGGGGAAAAGGGGACTATAAGATATGAAGGTAAAAACAAGACTTGGCAAGAGATTGGATATGTGGGGGTGAGAATTTAAGATGACATCCAGGTGAGGGAAAATAGGTGTCCTTGATAGTAACAGGAGTCAAGGAGGAGTGAGTTTGGGGGAAAGGTAGTGAGTTCTGTTTTAGATATGTTTAGTTTGAGAAGGCTATAGTACATACAAGTCAACATGTACAAAATAAGTGATATATAGATCTGGTAAGTCGCCTGTATAGAGATGATAAACCTATGAGGGCTGATGAGATTACCAAATGAGATAGTCTAGGGGAAAAAGAGGGCCAAGGACAGAGCCTTGAAGGACCTCCACAATTAACAGGCATGGCATAGATATTACTAGATCCAGCTACTGTTAACCACAACAACCATAAACCAACAGGAATACCTATCCATCTGTGTTCCTCCTTCCTCTCTAAAAGCCTCATCCATCTGCTAGAGTTTATGCTCCTTGTCACAGGAAGCAGATGGGAACTCTGGCATGGATTGGCAGTGTCATTAAGAAGGGTGTGAAGGGCCAAGAGACAGAATGAGGGATGGCTCCAGGAACTAGCAGGAGGACATTTTTGAAGGTGCATTTCAGTGATGAACTCATATCCCTGGACTCTTCAACACCTGCTGGGTCATTCATCATTCCCACCTCCTCTGGTTTCCCACTGCCCAGGCCAACAGGACTCCTCTTCCCATAATTTCATCAGCCCTATCTAGTTCTGCCCCTAAACCTGGCCTAATACCACCACTACCCAGCTGTGTCCCACCATAGGCCCTTCCACTCAGACCTGGTACTATCTATTTACAAAGCAGGGAAAATATTCTAGGCCAATGATTCTCAGAGTTTTTGGTCTCAGGACTCTTTTACACTTAAAAATTACTGAGGACCACCCCCGCTAAGAGTTTTTATTTATGTGGGTTATATCTAGCATATTTACCACATTTGAAATTGAAACATCTTATTATTATAAATTAGTATTAATTCAGTATTGACCTCTCAGACCCCCTGAAAGGGTCTTGAGGACCCCCCAGGGGTTCCCAGACCACATAGGAATCACTGCCTATCTAGGAATGTGCCTTTAGACTCCTCCAAATCAGAAGAGTATTAATGCTGTGTCTCTAATAAACACAAATAAAAAGCTGTCCCTCCAATACAAATGGATGAACCCCACCAAGGAAAGTGGCTTGAGATGCCCCAAGCCTGTTCATTTGACTTTCTTTCTGGTAGGGGGACAGTCAGGTCTCTAGGACCCTGGCCCAAGGGACTGTGCACTCCTAACAGGATCACTTATGTTATGGGCAGTGATCTTGGATCCCTGACCTCACTCCCCAGATTCTTTATGTCTTAGGAAACAGATAATACCTAGATAAATGCCTCATGGCTGTTAAGCACCAACTAGATGACCTGGCCTAAGAGGGGCAAAGACCTAAGTTGGGTAGAGCAGGTATGGAAAATTAAGTAAGGATTAAAAGGTAAACTTCCCCTCCCTCAACCTCTTCTTTAAAGTAGAGGGAAAGTACTAATTAGGATGTTGCACTGACTCTGAACATAGTTATCTTTTCCTTGTTGGACTTTAGTTTTCCACCACTGTGGATTGGACCAAAGTTCTCCTAGCTCTAAGGTCTTTTTTTTCCTTTCTTTTTTTCTCTTTTTTTGGTGAGGCAATTGGGGTTAAGTGACTTGCCCAGGGTCACATAGCTAGTAAGTGTCATGTGTTTGAGACTGGATTTGAACTCATGTCCTCCTCACTTCAAGGCCAGAGCTCTATCCACTGCGCCACCTAGATGCTCCCCTTTCTTTTTTAAGACCTGTTTTTAATGGGAAAACTTCAGGGCAACAGAAGAAAGAAGGGCTAATGGGGTAATTATGGACTTGAGCCCTCTAGATGCTTGACTAGGGCATACCTGGTCCTCTTGGATGACCTTACTCCTATTCCCAAAGAGATATAAGAATTAATAAATTCTTTAATATTCTAGTATTTAATTTAATATTATTTAATATATTCTTTAATATAAGAATGTGAAAGCACAGCTCTAAGAACAGTACCAGTGTACCATCCTATGTTCCTGCCCCAAATGTTTCCACATGAATCCAGAAGGGAGTCCGGGATCAGATTGTTTGATTCCTCTTTCTCCCAATCTTATTTCCTATGTGTCTTCCAGGCAGACACAAACACTGAAAAGGATGGAGGGACTTGCCTCTCAGCTCATTATTGCTGCCCCCATACCTATTGACATATCCACCCTTGACCCCATAGTCTTTAAGCTCTGGGGGCTCCCTTAGGCCCTATCTTTGGGAGAAACAAGCTATTCCATGTTTATCTTGTATCGTTTCAAGGCCTTCTTTGGTGTGGACAGATAGACCGTGCAGATAGTCTGAGGCCCTGCATAATCCACCAGCTGCTGTGCATTTCCCACAAATTATCTTATATTTTTCTTATATAAACTCATATTAGATATTGTTGCCTCCAAAAAGAGATTATTTTCTTTGGATACCAGTGTCTAGCATAGTACCTGACACATAATAATAATGATAGCTAGCATCCACATAGCACTTTAAGGTTTTCAAGGTGCTTTATAATTATTAGCTGATTTGACCCTCACGATAACCCCAGGAGGCAAGTGCTATTATTAGCCCTATTTTACAGATGAGGAAACTGAGGCAGGTAGTGTTGAATAGCCCAGAGTCACAAAGTGTTTGAGGCAGCATCTGAACTCAAGTCTTCCTGATTAGATTTGAACACAGGTCTTCCTAACTCTTCGTCTACTGCCCTATCTACTGCCCATCTAGCCGCTTAGTAAACAATAAATACATTTTAACTGACTGCATCATTGAGATTGCATCACTTACAATGTTTTTCATAGCTTTTCCTCCCCTAATTTGCCTATTCAACCAACAAACAGTTATTGCCTAGGAGGTGTTTAAAAAACCCCATCAGACCCAACCATCCCAAGCTATTGACCTATATTTCTTTCCCTTCTCAGTTAAACTCCTGGAAAAAGCTGTCTATGCCAGTTACCTCCATTTCCTCTCCTCTCCTTCCAAAACTCTTTGCAATCCACCTTCAAACCTGCTCTCTCCAAAGCTATTGATATTAATTACAAAATTTGATGTTTTTTTTCTCAGTCTACATCCTTTTCTACTGCACTTGACATTTCTGACTACCCTTCCTTGCCAGATATTCTCTCCTCTCTGGGTTTTCATGATGCTGCCCTCTCTTGGTTCTCTTCCTGTCACCTCTGCCTCTTACCTAGGAATATCCCTCTAAGGCTGTCTCAGACCCTCTTCTCTTCTCGTTACACAAGAGGATCTCAAATAATTATTAAGAGGGAAAAGGCAATGTTTGGTAAATACATATTATCCCACTGAAGTATTCTAGAAGTTTCCAGATTTACAACCAATGAAATTACATTTTTTGGTGGACCCTTGGAGAAGTAAAATTAATTAATCTATGTACACATGCATGGTAAACTCAAGAATTTATTTCCTTTTGTATTGAAAAGAAGGTACAGGAAGGTTTACTGAAAAGCCAAAGGGTATAGGAAGGGAACAGGAACTGAAGGCTGGAAAGCCCTTCTCTATATATTCTCTTTGTGACCTCAATAGATCCAATGAGTCTAATTATCTATGTAGGTAAACTGAAGATGCACATATCCAGCCTCAGTCTCTTCCCTGAGCTCCAGTCCCATATTACCAGCTATCTCTTGGACATTCTAAACTAGATGTCCTAGAAACTCAAACTCATGTCTAAAGGAGATGTTTTCCCAGCTCTCATCCAAACCTCCTATTTCTGTCTAAGGATATCAGTGTTCTTCAGATAAACTCAACATTATTTGGGACTCACCATTCTTGTTCAACTCACATACACAATCAGTTGCCAAATCTTGCCATTTCTCCCTCTACCATATACCTAGAATCCTATCTCCTCTCTTCTCAACTAGCCACCACCTTAGTTCAGGACCACAGCCTAATTCATCTCTCCCCACTCCAATCCATGCTCCACACAGCAGCCAAAGTGATTTTCCTTAATCCTAAATCTGATCATGTCATGCCTCTACTCAATAAATTCCAGTGATTCCCTATTTATCCTAAATCAAACAAATTCCTTTGTGGTGCTTTTAAAGCCCTTCACAACCTGGCTCTAACTTATCTTTCCAGTCTCATTGTACATCACTTCTGCACTCTGAAATCCAGTCAAACCGGTCTTCTTTGATTCTCACACCATCTCTCATCTGTCTTTGCACTGCCTTTTGAGATAAAACTCAAACACCATATTCCAAATGAAGCCTTTCCTGATCCCATCAACTGCTACTGCCTTCCTTCCCTTTGTATTTACTTACTTTTAATTTTTATTCTTTCTCTTTCTATATACACATTTATTGCCTTTCTCTTTAGAATGTAAGTTCCTTAAGATTTGGGATTGTTTCATTCTTTGTTACTAAATCTTCAACACATTGCACAGTGCCTGGAACATAATAACAGAGCTTTAAGGTTTGAAAGATTTGCTCAACAAGTGGATTAAAGATCCAGGGAGAAGACAAACCTCAACCCTAAGTGTCCTCTGCTGTCCTAAAAGATGATGTGGTCTCCTTGGGAGAAAAGGTAGGAAAGTTTCTTCAGGGGAGGATTTAGGTAATACACTGTCCCTGGGGAGACCTCCAAGACCCTTTTCATCCTTTTTACCCCAAGGTACAAATGTTAAAGAGCCCTAGAACTCTTTGATCGAGAAAACGGGATTTAGAGATAGAAGGGACCTCCTTATTTTAAATATGAAAAATCTTGGGTTTTGAGAAGGAAACTCAAGATCACAGTTAGGTTCTGAATCCTAGGCCCCTGACTCCAAACTAGCATTCTTTTGACTACCTCAAGCATTTGAGTGGACCCTGAATCCTTCTGATCTGAAGGTGTGAGGGGCTGTCAGCTTAGGCCTCTCAGTCCCCAGCCTTCCAAGGGGAGCCCCCCAACAGTGATCATACAGTGGGCCAGTCCCTCCCTAAGAAGAGCCTCATCTGCTGACCCTAGTCCCATGCCCATGCCCTGAAGGCTGAGGACTCTGAGGTTAGACAACAAGAGGCAGAAAGAAAGGATATCCTTGGCTGAAAGCTTATCAGGGGTAGGGGGTGGTCCCAAGAGGCCCAGGGTCTCTAGGGCCTGCATCCCCACCAAGCTGGCCAGCCCCCTGGCTGTGAGCCCAGCCACAGTCACCCTGAGCTCCCGAAGTCTGGGCAGGAAGCGTCCTATGGCCTGCAGGGCCCCATCAGCAGGCACGAGCATCCACACAGCTCGAGGCGCCGGAGGTGACCGAGCCCAGGCAGGGCGTCTCGAAGCCCCTGCTGGGTCACCATGTAGGTGACCCTCAGCACCAGGGAGCACAGAGCCCCTTGCCGAGACAGGGCCCGTAGCTGCGAATCTGAGAAGGCCGGGATCCCGTCCAGCACCAGGTGCTCGAGATGGGGCAGACTTGGGGGCCACTCCCCGGCGGAAACCAGGCCCGGGGGAGCTCACACGACTGCAGTTCCACCCTCAGCATTCTACATTAGCGGCCACTCCAGCCACCCCTAAGTCGTCACCATCGCAACCCCGGCAGACGCTTCCGCTTCCCGGCGGCCGTAAAGCGCAGACAAGTGGTGTCGTAGTAGGCAGGAGCTAGGGAGACTAGGGGCGTCCTGGGTGAGGGCCAGGCCTGAGGGTGGGGCCGCGGGTGTCTACAGTGAGGACCAGGGGCGGTCCGGGGAAGCCGAGGGTGTCTGGTGCCGAGGCTGGGTGATGGGCAGGCTGGGGATGTCCTGGCTCAGGAGCTGCACGGGGAGGTTGGGGACGGCCAGATTTAGGGCAGAGGCTGACCAGGTGGCTGCGGGTGGCCGGGCACAGAGGAGGGGCAGGGGCGGACTGGAGGAAATGACCCCATCCCACACTGATTAGATCCTTTGTGGTCCCCAGAGCCATGATCGAGGCTGCTGTAATGATCGGCTGGGCAAGAAGGTCAGTGTGAAGTGCAAGTATCCTATTGGTGGGAAGGCGGAGGGGGGTGGGGCGGGGGATGGGCATGGGCAGGGCTCGCCTACTCCCCTCTTTCTTTTTGCCTTGACATATGCCCCAGCACCACGCCTCAATAGGAGACCTGAAGAAACTGATTGCTGCACAGACAGGCACCCGTTGGAACAAGATTGTTCTGAAGAAATGGTGAGTGCGGGCAGGACTGACTCAGGTGTGCTAGATCTAAGCTGCCCTCCAGGTGGGCAGCAGTGTTGGGCTCTGGAGCCAGACCATGCCATAATCCCCATCCCTGGAAATCGGAAGATGATGGGGCTGCCCTGGCATTGCTAAGGAGGCTTGAGAGTGGGGAGCCTCTTGCAGAACTAATCTCTCCATCCCAGGTACACAATCTTCAAGGACCATGTGACTCTAGGGGACTGTATCCTTTATTTGACAACTCTGAAGGGACTCTAGCTTTTTGAGGAGTTATCTGTGCAAATCCTATCCCTATCTCCCCCAACACTGCTGATCTATCCTTTGAAGAACACAAAGCGCTTAACTCGGGGTGGGGGGATTAGGAGGATTGCTTAGGAGAGAGCCTGGGGATGCTTGGGTGGGGGGAGTGGGTTAGTAAGGCCAACAGTCCAGCCGTTCAGATTCTCTGACTTATACTCTCAGATGAGATCCACGATGGAATGAACTTGGAGCTTTATTACCAATAAGGGTAGCAACACCCCATCCCCCAAATCTGCACCTCTCTTCCCTTTTTAAAAGCTAATAAAATAACTTCAATGATGGTGCTGCTGTGTGTTTTGGTCATGAATTCTGGTTTTTGTGAACCTGGAGTGGGGAGGAGGTAATGAGACACAGTAGAAACTTGTTTACAAGGTTTAATAGGGGACATCTGGACAGCCAGGGGATAAGAACAGGAACTATACAACTGCCTTGCATTGGCCTTAAAGCTGAGGATTTTGATTTTCTTTTAACTAAACAAAGCAATGCAGCAGAAACAGCAATTTAGTCTCCCTCCAAGATGCTCTGGCTGCAACAGGAGTTCAGATAACCCAGGCCCTTTCCCCCTCCCAGCTGAGGGTCCCCTCTCATTTCCAAGTGGTTTCCTTCCAGCTACTGACCCATAATTCCTTAAGATGCAGAAGGCAGGATCAGACTGAACGGAAGCCAGAGTGGCTGTTAGGTGGAGCTAGGTAGGGGCCATTGTTGACCACAGTGGAGTGATTTAACAGAGGCCCTCAGGTAGTGGAGGTGAGAGGGCAGTGAGGAGACCTAAACTAGGGCTCATCCTCACCCCGATCTCTGCATCTGAGAGTCTGGGGACAATAAATATTGTGTATTTTCAGCTGGAGCAGGGACACCAGCAACACTAGGGGTCCCAGCACTGACCTTTCAGAGGGAGGAACCATCAAGGCTGAAACAAAATGGAAAAGATGCCCCCAAATAGGAAGTAAAGGGTTCCCCAACCCTGGCCTGCCCCCCACCCCATGCCTTGGGGCCACCTCAGCTCTTAGAGGCAGCTGTAGACTGGATGGAGAGAGTCTGGGGGCAGGTGAACAGAGGTCAGTCTTCCCCTGCCCTTGATCCCCAACCCAAGGCACTCCTACTCTGTACGAAGGATGATGTGGATCCCTGAGTCTGTGAAGACTGGGCCGCTCATCTCACCCGTCCTCAGTGCGAAGGAGGCATCTTCAAATGGTTTCTGCATCTGACCTGCAGGGAGGCAGGGAGTGTGGAGGACATAGGTCATATGGACAGTGTCGAGGAGGGAAGTCAGTAAGCAGCCTAGGAAGAAGGGAGGGTGGGATGGGAGGAGAGATGACTGTGCCTTTACAGATACTTATATTACTCTGGCTCTATCTTGGGTAACAGGCTTTAAAAAGTGAAGGGGTAATGGGTGAGAGGAGAGACAGGTATTGCTTGGATACTGCCACTATATAGTTATTTGAAGAACCAACCACTATAACCACAGCAATTACAACCTAAAGAGGATACCAATCCCCCCTTCCCTGTACTCTCTAAAAGCCCCATTCATCTGCCAGAGTTTATGGTCCTTGTCACAGAGCTCAGACAGCAGGCAGATGGGGACTCTGGCCTGGGTTGGCAGTGTCATTAAGGAGAGTCTGAAAAGCCGGGAGACAGAATAAGGGATAGCTCCAGGAGCTAGCAACAGGGCATTTTTGAAGGCACATTTCAGAACTCATCTTTCTGGACTCACTTCCCAGTACCTGCTGGGTCATTTATCATTCCTACCTTTTCTGGATCCCCACAGCCAAGGTCAACAGCTTCTTCATCCCACAATTTCATTAGCCCTATCTAGTTCTGCCCCTCACTCATATCACAGAGCTTAAGTCACTCTGGGCCTGGGCCAAGGAGGAGGATTTCTCCTGAAGGTGAGTCGTTTCAGGCCATGTAGAAACAGCATTATGATAGATGCAGCATATCTCTTTATAAAGCTAGGGAAAATGCCCTAGAATCTGTGGCGATCTGAGATTCCTCTTTCTCTCAAACAGAGATAGATGGAAATGGCCAGAAAAGACAGGTCTCCAGGATCCTGGCATCAGGAACTATCTCCTTGTCTTTCAAGAGAGACAGGCCCACCTATGTTAAGGGGAAGAGATCTTGTTTTCTGAATGTACATCTACCCATTCACCTACCACTATGCTATTGGAAAATGGGCTGGAGTTGGGTGTGTTGCCAGCTAATGGGTCCCATCTTTGTGAAGACCTCTTTGAAAAGACTGACAAGCCTTTGGTTGTAAGAGAGATATAGCACTAAGAAGGGGGGGAGGGGAAGGGAGAAAAGAGCTCTTCCGAAAATTGTGAGATCTAGAAGGGACTTCAGAGATGTCAACCCTTTCCTTTTAAGATGGGGAAACTGAGACCCAGAGTTCAGTCAACTGCCCTGTTGGGGCTCCAAATTCAATGTTCTTTCCACTCTACCATACTTCTGTTCCTGAGTCCTGTCCTGTCCAATTTCTCACTTTGTTCTTGGGCCTCACGTGGCAGGGACAGCTCCAGAATGTGTACATTTCTCTGGCTCTGCTCAGCCATGCTGCAGTCTCTCCCTGGAGCTAAGTTGGTCATTCTCACCTGCCTTATGCCCCAATTCAATTTATCTCCAGGCTCACAGGTCTAGATTCGTCTGGGAGGTTTGGCTAGAAGCCACCTCTCCAGTGTCAACCAAAATTAACCCAGTAAATTGCTCTCTCTGATGAGGAAGGCTATCCTATATACTTCAACCTGATCTGAGTGCTTTTGACATCAGAGATCTCTTGTACCTATAGCCAGTACTGGACTTTGTGTCACCTCACTGCTGCCTCCTGGTGGACCCTGGAGACCCAACCTGGCCAAGAGACGGCAGTGTCCTGATAAGCGATTATGACGTACCTCTTCCAAAGGTGCCCAGGTCCCCCCTGGCTTTGGCTGAACTGCAGTCACTGAACTGCGATGCCAGAGTCTCAAAATCTTCTTCCCCTGATTTAATCTTCTGGATGTATCCTGTGGACACAGAGGGTAAATCAGTCAAGAGCCAAAAAAAAAGAAGCAGGAACAAAGTGAGTGGGGGCAGGGTAAAGCATGCTTTGACACAAGAGAAGGCTAACTGACAATAGGTGCTCTTTTTTTTTTTTTAAATAGATGCTCTCTAAGAGGGCTTGGGGGCGAGATTTTTTGGAAAATAACAGTTGCTCTCTGGGTCCAGGCATGGCCAGCTAGGGGCTAGGAAGACAGGGCTGGATAAGAAGTGAGCCCAGTTCCTCCAAGTCTTTGAGAGAGAAGGGTGGATACCAAACAGGTCAAATGGACATTATCTAGAAGGGCCAAAGAGTGGCAATAAGATAAAGCCCTGGGGAGGAAGTCAGGAGACCTGGGCATAGTTCTAACTCTATCACTAACTTACTGTGTGACCCTGAGGGATTCTAACAACTATACAATGTTAGACCTGAACAAGAGCTTAGAATCTATCCCAATCCCCTCATTTGACAAAGATAATTTCCAAAATGCTTTAAGGCACTGCTGTCAAACTTAAAGAGAACAGATCCCCTCAGCCACATATTGACTTGAAAACCACAGATTAACATTATCTATGTTGAACTGTATTTTTATGTATTTTGTTAAATTTTGTTAAAATTATCTTTTCATCTGATTTGGACCTCACCTGGGGAATTCTGTGGGCTGCATGGAATTGCTTTGGGGTTTACAAAATACTTTTACATAGATTATCTTTTTTGAGCCTCACAACAACCCTGCAAAGTAGGTGCTATTATTATCCCCATTTTACAGATAAGGAAAGGCTTGAAGTCATCAAAGTAACTAGCCAAGGGTCACAAAGCTAGGAAGTATTTGAGGTGAGATTTGAACTTAGTTCTTAACTCCAAGTCCCAGCATTCTATCCACTATGAATCCTAGCTGCCTGTTAAAGGAAACTGAAGCCTGAAAGGGTTAGCAATTTGCAAGGTCACAAGCAATTAGGCAGTTGGCAGAGCTAATCTCACTGAGGCTTGACCTAGTAGAATATATATTCCTTGAGGGCAGGAAGTGTTTGGTTTTATCTGTCTCCAGGAGCACAGTGCCCTGCACATACTAAATAAATATCTGCTGAATTGCTGGATTAATTTCTTCATCTGCAAAATGAAGGGAAAAATCTCTGCCCAGTCTACCCCACCGGGTCACTGGGAGGCAAAACCATACCTGAGGCCTTTGTGAAGTACAAAATCCATGAGTACATACTTCGAGGCTAATATTACCCCCTAGGAAACCCTCCCTTTCCATTGCCCTGGCAAGGAGTTCCTAACTATACTCAATGGAAAGAATTCATCACTCTCACATTATGAGTAGGCCTAGAGCACCCATTTGTTACTGCCCCATTTGTTTATATTGGGGCCCACCACACCCCCCACATCCTGGTAATGACATTCTGAACTTGTTCACTGAGCCTCACCCCTCTGGGAAGGTAGGGGGTGGGCCAGCAAAGATTAATGGAGAGAATGGGAAATTATGGCTTGGGAAGGGGAATGGGGAAGAGCCATGTGCTATGGAATGCAGTGATGCTAGATGGTGCTGCTGACCTCCTATGTGAAATATAGCCCTCCTGGGGAAGATGGGCAGCAGACGACTTTACCAGATGGGCTGAGGTTAGTACCTGAGACTGGGTAATACCACACCCTCGGCCTACACTGTGAAAGCTCATTTTATAAGCAACAATAAAATTCAAGCAAAGAGGGGTAAGGTTGTCCTTAGGCTAGAAGAGAGGGATGAAACCACTTTGAGATAGGAAAGACAGGCTTTGGAAACCCCCAAGCCCTTTGGAGGCCCAAAACTAGAGCCAAACCCGTTCAGTTCCCAGAACCAAGAAAATACATATGCCTGCTACCCAAAGGGAAAGGGCACTCTAAACGTGACAGCTGATTCTTAGACAACATTTTTAATAAAAAGCAGCTTCAAACCAGAACATGAATCACCAAGGGCTTTTGTCCAGAACACCACAGTTGGGAGGTCAGAGAGGGAACCACAAAGAAAATGGTAGCATCAATTTTCCAGGCCTAGGCTGTTCCCCTTGAGAAAGGAGGACAGGGATAAATTAATAACATCCAGATTCAACGGGATCTCTAACCCCAAGTCTAATGAAGGCACATCAATTGTATGAGCATAAATCCAGGAGCCAACTGAGATGGAAGGACAGCCATATACAACATTCTCCAGTACTTTTAACTTTTCCATTATCGCCTTATCTCCAGGAAAATCGAATGAGATCAAAGTACAAGTATTATTTCTATTTCCTAGG